TACGCTGTGAAGTGTACGCTTGTGAATATACTCATGAGTATACTTACACACTACTACCTGTTCAGGGATATAGTGGAATATAACCCCGATATTTTTAGAATGGTACCAGCCCCTAGAAAGCAGTATTAGAAAAGAAAAAATATTTTATTGTTTTATCTCTTCTTTACATCTAAATTGTTCCAGAACTCATATAGTATGTTTAGAAGATGTTATGATTCCAATAGGAATTACCTAAATGCTATTAAGAGCCTAAAGTACGTCAGTGCCACTCAAGAACTGTAGAATTTGTAGATGGCCATACATTTCGAGAGTGGAAATGACTGTGCTCGTAATACACACAATATTTTTCCAACCACCATAATTTTTAACTTATCATAACACACAGATTAACTTTTTAGTTGCATATTAAGTGTCATTTAGGCTATGTTTGTTTTTTAGGTTATGTTGTTTGCTTACCGGATGTTGAGATTACTAGATTATTTACAAAATATGTAATTTATTTTAGAACCAGACAAAATGCAGATGTCAGATTGTACAGTAAAAAATCTTTCACATTCCTGTTATTTCACTCCAAAAATTTATAAAATGTACGCTAAAAACAATTTATAGTTTTGAATATATTTTTTTTTTGTTTTTAGATTTTTGATTAATATATCTGGTTATCTAAATGATAAATGATTACTTGGGGTATTATAAACCAAGTAGATTTAGGACCAATTCATGTCTTCCATCATCTGGCGGGGTTCGGCACTTGAGGGAACCATTCCAGCATTGGACTAAGTGAGGAAAGAAACGTATAAAACTATCCTCAAAACCAATATGTTGGTTGGTCTATGATAGTACTAGGTACGTTTTTTAAGTAAGGGCCGTTTTTAAATTTCTTCGTTCCAGCACTGCGATTGGCATTTTTGACATTTGCGCTGTGTATGTGCATCTATTGGTAAGACATAGCCGGAAATTCGAGAAAAATCGGCCGTGTTTACATCCGGTTTCAAGCATTCAAAATGTTGCCGCCAATTGAGACTGCCGCCGACTGTGAAGTGCGCGCTGTAATTAGATTTTTAAGAGCTTAAACTTAAAGCTTGAATTTCCGGCTATGTCTTACCAATAGATGCACATACACAGCGCAAATGTCAAAAATGCCAATCGCAGTGCTGGAACGAAGAAATTTAAAAACGGCCCTTACTTAAAAAACGTACCTAGTATTTCCAGCTAAGGGCTAAGAAACAGTACCTCTATACTGTCCCCAGCTGGAATTAAAACTGACTGAACTATTGCTGAGGTTCAAAGTTTATTCTGTGTACACTACAATTAAATTATGTATCATTAAAAAAATGAAAACAATTAATAATAAACAGCACCTTTAATTTTAAAATAATTTACAAATGATCTCTTTCATAACAAGACTGATCAATTCTAAGACTACATCACATAAGCTCACTCGTCTTCGACGACACAATTAGAATACTTAATTGAAAATTACTTCATTCATCCACAGCTATCTGTATATTACAGTACATGACAGACACCCTGGCAATTTTTCTAAAGCTAAAATTTTACCAAAGTACCTAGGATAACAATGAAGAAAGATACATATACATTGTTTGTAGATCTGGTATAAGTTAAAAATAGGTTAATTGTTTAGTTTAAAATAAGATTAAAATTGGAAATGCTAAATTTTGATTGGTTTTTGCATTCTCATTGGCCAGAGAATGGGTCAAATATCCAAAGTAGACATTTTATTTCCTTATTACGGTTTTTGAAAGTTTTATAAATGACTCAACAATAAAAGATCATAGTTTAATTGAACCACTGAAATGCATTTAAATACTTTGATAGTTCTAAAGGCTAACCTTTTAAGTATTAAAATTTCAAATCAAGATTTTTAATGTTCTTATCAACTATTATAGGATAAGACACTAAAATAGAATTTCAATAGCACATTTAGAGAGTATCATTTGACAATTTGTATTTTTTTTTAGAAATTAACAACTATACTTGGTTCATTATAATGGGGTGTCTATTGAAGTATACAAAGTCAATGATAGGAGTGTATTGGTTAGTACCGGTAAATAAAACATAGGGGAATAATCAGCTGATAAGGTACCGTATAAATTCTAAGTATGAACCAACTGTTTACCACCCAAGACAAATGGTTCAAGTAATTTTAAATTAAAACCTAATTCTCTTTAAAACACAATTTAGGTTTTGACAAATTAATTGCATGGCACTGAATAAAGTTATTCTAGGTAACTGTATATTCAATCACAAGTTTCACAATTTGCATAACTTATTTACAAAACATAAGTTAACACATATAGTATATATTATGTCTTTAAATCTCTCAAATTCTAAAAAAAGAGAGCAATAGATACGCTATAGTCTCCCGCAGCGTTGGTTTGTGGCAACGTCACACTGGCGTCTATTGCCTAGGCAATAACAGAAGAAATATATTTTGTTTCAAACTTGTAAACATAAAGATTGTGCAGTCGCTTCATTATAAATTATAGCAACAGCTGTTTCGATTGTCGGGGACACCATTTTTACCACTTTGTCTTGCCGTGGCCTTGTATTAGATAGCTATAGAAACACTCTACTTCAAGGCATTTTAACATTAGTTTTGACTGAAATGCAAATAATAAACAAAATCTAAATTGATTAATCATTTCCATTCTGTATACCGGGTCAAAATACAAATGATAAAAACAGTAGCGTTATATAAAATATATCTATTACAGTTTGTACCACGAGTGAATAACCAGCTTACGCATGTTTAGGAACATTGAGTCACCTGAGCATAGAGCACTTTGTCCAATCGCCTCACCAGGAGTATAGATATCGTTTCAATATAGTTAAAATGATTGTACTGACTACTCAATTGCTTATTGCACAGCTTACATCATTAAGAAATAAATTTAACGTAGCCTGCCAGCTGTTCCGCTGTTTGCCCGCTCATGCGCACTAGCATCTTTTACTACTGCGCATCTTTTTGTTGGGTTTTTCACTCGCAAAACAAACTGTACTATGTATTTTAATGTTATTAAAGTTAGCAAGAACAATTGGTAAATAATACATGCAGTTTACAAAATACCAATTTTAACACTTGTATTAAAATAAACTCTCCTTCATTTCCAAACAAAGTGGAAACAACTATCACAGTTACACATAGGGCCACACATAAGGCCTCTCTTTTACAGCTGAATAAATATTACATTGAATGTAAAGAGGAAACACCTATTTGAGTTCAAATTCCACTACTTCTACAATAACTTTAGTATTACAAATCTAAACTTCTTAAAGTTTAATTGCTGAATATGTACATCAATAACTACTTTTGTCTAGATAGATACATTACGAAGAAGTAAACATCCCATTTAAAAGTTTAGAATAAATAAGAATGTCAATTATTGTCAATCTGTCAATTGTTAAATTGTGGAACTGAAAGTGGACAGTGTGCTATAGTTTGCTTTTTTACACCAATTTTATAATCATGTCACTCTGAAAAGATATTAGATATTATTGTAAACTAAAGTCCTGTATAATCTTTCTATAAGAGACTCACAAAATTATGTTAGCTTTGAGTAAAAAATATATAAAAACTGCTGCATATGGTTGATACAGATGGAATGTCTACTTCAAGATTTAAATTCAACGCTCTTACTAAGTTAGTTGAGGCCAGAAAAATCACACATGATTTTGCACAAAAATAATTAAAAAGATTAAGAATTAAAGTTTGTTTACAACATTTGAATGGTTTGAGGGGAAGTAGCTTCTGATTTCCCCACCACTTTTTTCTTAACGTTACTGCTGATTGACTGGTTGAGCTTAATTATATATCTGCTTGGTTTTATATATTTTCAGCTGTTTAAAAGGTAGGGTGAGGTGGAGGGGATGGAATTACTTCCCCTACAACCGCCTAAATTTTTTGAACGGAGTATAGTGCACTACGGTAGACTCCCTCTTATCCAGACCCCTCGGGACCGAGGCCAGTCCGGATAACGCTTTTCCCGGTTAAACCGATGTCCCCAAAAACTTGTCAAAACGGACCATTTGAATGCATACTGTATAAGCCAATAATGATTACGAATTTAGAAACGTGATCACTGGTCTCAAATCTTTCCCACAGAACAATCGTTCCAGTACCGCCCACTTCCTGCCAATCTAGTCCGGTTAAACCGATGTGCTGATAAAAATTGTCTGGTTAAAGAGATGTCATTTCCGCCAAGTGCAGTCCGTCCGGTTCAACCGATGTTCGGTTAAAAGGTGTCCAGATAAGAGGGAGTCTACTATACAACAATATAAAGGTGTTCTGATTTGCCAAACATTTGATTAATATTAACAATTACCAAATGTTTTTTTTTTTCTAAATAACAATGAAAGTCAAAGAATATGTCTACTCCTCCAAACAATTTCAAAACTTGGAAAAACCTATGTTTGAAAGACGTTTATAGAAACACTGTTTATGTTTTGCCAAAAATTTTCATCTGTGTATAAATAAATTTAAAAAAATACCATTTACATACAATTGAAACCAAATTATTTGGTTTCAATTTTGTAATTGAAGTTAATTAAAGCTGAATGTGTTGTAGTAAACTCTGGTCTCCAATAAGCTTAAATACTTAAAGCAGCTTTAAACTTTCTTATATACAAAACATGTGTTAAGTTTAAGTACAAGACAATTAATTTACACTACTTACAAAAGGAGAGTATTTGTGTAAAAATAATCAAATATACATTCAAACACTTTCCATGTTTAAAATATTGCTGATTCAGTAGTCTTGATAAAATTATAAATACTTTTTTTTATTGATAATATGTATTAGAAAAGTAAATAATAATATAAGTATCTAAACATCAGGCATTGAATTATTGTAAATGAATACAAATTAAGGGAAAATGACTATCTAAAATGTATAAAGCTACCAAAATTAACAAACATTCAATACAATTAAAACAATACTTGTTCAAATATTAGTATGTCTTTACATTTTGCTCAAATTTCATTAAAAATTGTATAAACATTTTGCTGTTAATGTGATAAATAACACAAATTAGTCAAAACAAATAAATTGAAATTATTAACTAATAGTTATTTATGGTAGGATTATTGGATGGTACTGTATTATTATGTCATTATGTAATTACAATTTTAGTGTTCTAATCTATACAAACAGAAGAATTGTAAAAGATCTGTTTCTTTAAAACAATTTTATCTGGCAAAATCTTTGTTACTGACCTTCTATACATCACTGACAAATAAATTAACAATTAATTAACTAAATATACTTAACCTAAACATGTAAATTATGTTCTTTTAATACTGATAATTCTCTTAAATAACAAAGTTATCTTCATTTATAATATGTATAGGTTTTGAACGGAGTATACATATGAGGCATTACATAAATGTATAATAAAATGTAAAATAAAAATAAAAGATTTTAAGAATGATTTGTAAGTTACAACTGCAATAATTAATTCAGGATTATTCCAAAATTTATTATTTAGAACCAATATGTTTGATTTCCAGTTTTCGTGTAAAAACAGAAGTTATTTTTACTGTAGTAACCATTTTAAAATAGATTGTTAAATTTGAATGGGTATCAACTATTACAACTGTTAATATGATTTTCTAAAGTAAACTTCCTTTATCTGGGACATTTTTTAAATGATAATAATATACTCAGGAATCAACTGAATCACAAATAAAATATTTATATAAAAGAAATTTGTACTATGTAGCACCGGCGTACACTTTCTTTCTAGCACTTAAAATATAATTAGTTTACAATCATACCACTTAAGGAGCTAATTGTTTAAATCAATCACCGAGTAGAATTATTTACTAGAGGAATGTTGCAATCCATTTTAACATCAAGACTCCCCTTTTTCACTGTATACGCTACTCCTCGGTGAGCGAACTGGTCCCGTTCTCGACGAGTCGATCATGTTCACCAGCAAAGACTCGTTCTCTTCAGCTTGATCACCATCCCCTGCTCCAGGCTGAGCACTGACCGACCGAGCGTACAAGATCCTCTCTTGTCGTCTCGCCCGCTTCAACTTCGTAAACTCATCCTCGGAGGAGTCAGTATTTGACCCAATACTGATGGTGTCCATGGCGAGGTCGTGACCGATACTTCCGCTGCCCAAGCCAGAGCTATTATCGTTGCCGAAGCCCGGGGCGCTTTTCATCGACAGCATATCAGGAAAGGTAGCTGTAGAGCGAGCAGGGGACAGAGACGAGGTGGGAGGAATAGCCGAAGTGTTGGGAGCAGAGTGGGAGAAGTATGTGGACGTCTGTCGCCCCGGAGGTATAGGCAGAGGGTCAGAAGGAGTGGGGGGACCAACAGACGGTGGTGAGAGTGAGGTGGGGAAGATGTCCTGCATTGTGGGGCGTTGCTCCGGAGGTTTGTTTGCCATAGATGTGATAGTCTGTTGTTCGTCCACCTCCTCAATGACTTGGTCTGCGATGCGGTCGGAGATCCTGACACTGCCCCCGGCCGTGTACTTGGCCGTGGCGAGACTGTCAGAGCTGCGGCTGGATGGTAGACGGGTGACACTTCCTCCTATGTTCATGGGTCCTCCTCCGACTGCAATGAAAATATAACAAAGTTTTGATCATGTTAGCATTTAAATTACTTTTAAAGAATTTACTAAACTAATTCAATTTTTATAGTATTAAGAGTTCAACACCAACATCAACTATTTTGATCTGCACACTCCTAACATTGGAAATGAAAACTTAAAAACAGTATTCATACTTTATTTCTTCTGTTAGTTAAAGATTGTTCTTCAAATCACAATTTTTCACTAAACAGTATAGCTCAGAGATGGTATGGGTTGATAGGCCAGATATTGCCTATTACTGTCTTATTACTGTACTAGTCAAAACTGGCAAACACAACATTTTCAATAGAAAAAGGTGAAAGTGCCTGCTTAAAGTAACCAAAAGTAGCAGTTATCAGTTTGTTTTGGCACAAAATTGATGGCATTTTTAGACTGTGTGACATTACTTCACTAAACTGCTGAATACCATCACTTTTAAAAACCTAAAAGCTACATTGATGTACACACACATATAAGCACGTGAAGTTATTAGATAACAATAGAAATGTCCTGACTGTTTTTGCAAGTTCACTAATGCCAGGGCGTATCTTGCAAAATCAGCAGATATTTTATGTCTGAATGAATAATTTGTCTTACACGAGACAAATGGGAAAAATTATTATCTTTATCATTTTTAACTAATAGTCTTCAGCAGGAGATTATGTTAATGAAAATGTCATTGACACCCAAAGAATAGTGCCAATTCAGGAGCTGAAATTTTGAAAATAAAATGTTTGTACTACCATTAACAGGTATTAGCAAAGTTTTTAAAATATGTATATTTATGCAAATCCTGAGGCTATAATCAGATAATTTCAGATAATTTCAAAATGAACGAGACATGTTTCAAACATTATTTTTGTTAGCAATGGATGAAGTTACTAGCCCATAACCACACACCACAACCACATAAACCCTCAACCACTCCAACTATATAACGTGTTATGATGATCTCCGCATTACCGTTACCGTCAACAGTAGCCGCAGGGGTAGTGTCTCTAGAGAACAGTCGCTTGAGTACACTGGTGACACTGCCCACCCTGTGTAGACTGCCCCCCGTGCTGCCCATGAACTGGGTGTTGACGCTGGTAGTGGAGCCCCCGCTGTACGTGCGAGGCCGTTCACCACTGATGCTCATGCGACTGCCGCTGCGCTTCGCAAGGAAGTGGATACCACTCTGTGCGTCTTCACTCATCTAGCGACAGTGTGCGACATGCGTGAGGAGTGGGGGAAACATGTGTAAAGTATAGGTGAAGTATGTGACACAAAACATACAGTAGTAAAGAATGATCCAAAACAATGCAATGCTAATATATTTACTTTTATCCACAAATCCTTGTGTTATTCCAACAATTCTAGACTGATTTAAGTCACACACAACGTTTTTTAATTTATCAATAAATGCTTATTGAATTATTCAAATAATTGTTTAGCAAAAGTAATAGATAAATGTACTGTTTGAAAAGAGGCAACTTAAAATTGAAACCAAAATGCAATACATTGATTGTTTCATTAAAAAAATATATATATTTAAGTTCTAAACTCAAAAATTTAGAAAATTTTAATCCTATTTGACGGCAATTGATCAAAATTAGGACTGGAATATTGTAATGGTATTAAAATTGCCGAAAAGTGTGTATAGTAACTAATATTCCAGGATTGTTGTAAAATCAAAAGTCCTAATGTATAAAATCTCAATGATTCCTGAAAACTGAGTACAACCGGTTCCATAGGTTTTAAGAATCGGAATCTTAAGCATTTCACCCTACTCCACTGGGGTATTGAAATAAATTAAGGCAGTTACACCAGGTAAATAGCTATCTTCTATCTGATAATGTACTATCTTTAGTGTCATTTCCCTCATTTACGAATGCTTTACATAGCTCAAGATAATTTTCATTCGGTACACTGAGGTATTTTTTTTACTTTTCTTGTAAGGATGCATTCTTTGAAACACGTAACTTACATGACTCAACCAAAACAACAACCTTGAAACCCAAAACCTCCCAGATTTTTTACAAACAGTATTTCAGCGTGCCATCCACCAATTAATACCTCATCAAAAGATTCAAACGCTAAAATATTAACTTCAGTTTAGTCATATAGATGAATAAATAACAAATGGAAAATAGATCATTTCTGTGGTTTTATTTTATGTCTTCACTTCGGTGAAATCATTGTATAAATTTATTCAAACTAAAAAGCTAATAATTTACAACCACTCACTTTAAGAACGGTAAATATTTTTCATAGCTCAAGACTTATTTTGTCTTGTATAGTAAGACAGGTAACTAGACTCTTAGAACATAAACATTAACATTAACTAGACTCTGAACTTAAATATGAACTAAAATCTCACTTATGCCAACTACATATTATCAGCATTTAACTCAGCCTGTATTATATGCTACAATATTTGTTACTTAACCTGTGCTTCAACACAGGGTGCACAAAATAAATAAGTGTATGGCAATAGAGCAAATGTTAACATATGGGTTCTTCTTGTTTTCGCATAAACCTTATTATGTATTGCAAAAGTTTCACCAGATATATTTTTTTTTTTTAACTTGGGAGTGCATAGGGTGTAGCTCGACGTCATTTACAGACTTGAATAGGCCTATGGAGTTGGCCAAGTTCAAGATGCAATCGATTTAGTAATTTTGGCATTTACAAAGAGCATCTTTTTTTACAAGACATACAAAGGCGATGTCTTCTCTATGCTATGGATTTCATGAAATGATGTTATGAATTTACAAAACTGTCAACTTCTGACAACGCTCCCTAGTTTGAACCTCCCACAGTTGGTACCCAAGAGTATACATTATTTATGAGGAAACCTCTGCCTTACCAACTTCTCCATGTCGCTCTCAACCTTGAGACTACTAGGTACCAGCAGTTCCTGGTCGGCAGCACTGACAGCTATGTTGGCAGTACTGGGCTGAGGTGCTCGCTCTCTGAAAGGCTCGGCCGCTACAGTGTAAGGTAGCTCAGTGGGAAACACCTCGTCCCAATACTGGTCCTTGATCAACTCTGGGTGTTCATGATGCATCTCATCCACTATCAAATATGACACCTGCAAATGTTAATTTTAATTTTAGGTAATTTAGAAGGTTGTTGGATACTGAAGTAGACATACCATCTAAGAGTACTAGCTGTCGCTAAAAAGAGTTTAGTTAGTTGAGTCAGTCACAAAATATGCTAGTGTCTAAAATATTCTAGCTCATTCTTTTGTTACTGAAATAGTTGATGGGTCATAACAGTAGTTACTACTGTATATCTTACAATAAGTCATTTCATCAGTTTGACTTGGTAAAATAGTTGGTGTATTCAACATAACTTTGTAATTTAGATAGCACAATCTGTCAGTGGCTCACGTCAACTACAACAATTTTGATGAAAAAAACTGGCAACAACTTACTTAATACGGAGATGGAATGACTGGTTGTATCAAAGGAAAGGTCAAATTTAGAAATGGTCAATAATGTGGTTACTTTTTATAGTGTGGTTAGAGTATTATCTGACTTTTGGTAGTGGTGTTGATTTAGTAATATACTAGATGATTGCTAAAATTGGAAATGGGCCCTTCATATGCATTATTGAAGGTGCAAAAATATGTAAAGAGAAGCAATACTAGATGAACCTTCAGAGTGGTACAAGAAATTTTAAGACTAGGCCTACTTAAAAACTAAACTAGCAATTGACATGTTTTCAATGTGCACTTGCAGCTTACCAATGATTTGAAGCTTTTAGACTGAATTGACACATTAACGCATTGTTATGTACTATATGAAATATGTACGCTCTCAGCGACCCTCACACTGAAGCTGGTAACTGCAAATCTTTGCTTTGAGCTACAATTATACTGAGAAGATCCAGGAATTAATTTAACCGACTGTTTGGCAAAATGAATAATGGCACTACTTCACACCAAAGCCTAATTTGCAGTATAAGCAAACTAAAAATTATAAAATTTTGGCTAGTTAGTGGTTTTGTTTATCATTATCTTACATAAAAAATAGTAAACATATTCAGTTGTACTTCTCAATAGAAAAATAATTAAAATAAACTTACCGTAACATTCCTATCGACGATCCAGTTGACTTCGAAATCGTCGTCATCTTCACCAAAAGGGTTGATCAAACTTTCTGCCACTTTGAGCCAACCCATGTAGAAGAAAAACTGTGAAGAATAAAGAAGTTGCACACCCAATGAATTATTAAAACTTCCCTAAAGCTGTTGAAAATTGTTCATTCTTAAGTATAAAATGACACTGGTAATGACATGGACATTACTGCAGCAGCAAACCTGGAGACTAAGTGAATTCCTGGCTAAATTGCTTGGCTTTATCCCCTTACACGTTCAGTGCTGACTGCATCAATTGATGTAGTCGCGCCACGAGCGCTCCTACCTACATCAATTGATGCAGTTGCGCAACCCCCACTACTTTAGTTCAGTATGAGCTCAGCCATTGCCGGGAAACGTTAAAATCGTTGCTAGCCTGAAGCTTAGAATGTGAGCTTTATTTTGGTGTAGGTTGGTACTCAAATTTCCCATAAAATCCCGGCTGACAATGCTTTTGTCCCGGTTTCGGGGATTTTCTCTCTTCAAGCCATATTACAAAGCCACTGACTACTGATCTAGGCGGTGCTGCTACCTTTGGGTGTTTTAGGGAACTGCGTCTAATCTTGGGGTAACGTAGTACAATAGAAGCTGCTCTTTTGTTATTCGTCAGATTGAAAAATTTTAATGTCAAATTGCGTTCACTGTTACGGTACCGCCGCACTGAACGTGTAAAAGTTATCAGATCTATCTTCTATTTAAAAACCATTGGGTTTAACAGGGTACTTAGGTTTGCTGCTACAGGGAAGGTAGTAGAGTGTGTGTTTTAGTCAAATATTAAAAGCCTAGTCTGAAACAATTATATTTACCAAATTTGATCAAAATATATCCATAAACATACAAACTACAACAGTTGACTTATTCTCAATAAGAAAAATACAAGTATTTAAAATGACGTATAATATTTTGGATTTTTTCCGTAACCATCTAGCTTAAAACAACGCTTCAATATACTAAATTATTTTGAAAAACATTAGAATGAATTGGGCAATTTAATAAAATTTGGACTTTAATCAATTTTATGTTTTTTGTTTTGAAAATGAGAAAAACAATTTTTAACCCTTGTTCCCATAGTCTGATAATTCTGATTCAGTAACTCGTTTGAATGGATGTAGTTTTACACATTATTGTACAAAATAAAGAAAAAAAAAACAGATGAATTTTTCTTGAGTCATCGTGCGTTTATATAATGGACACAAACATATGAATTTGAAAGGATTGTGTAGTATTTTTGGCCTCTGGGAACATCAAAACATAAGTAAAATAATTCCGAGTCCAGGCCTTACTATGGGACCTACGGTAATAGCTTATTGCCCATATGGGAAATTTGCTAAAAACAGCTCAATCTTTTATCTAAATAAAGATTTTTGGTTTAACAGAATGTTAGAGTATTTTCATCAGGTTGAACCTTTTATTATTTTAGCTATTGCATAGCCTAATCTGATCTATGAACTTAACAACGCTCCACAAAAACTCCAATAACCTAAAATATGATAAAACTACAAATCAAGTACCTGTAAAGTTGTGAGCACGGGGAAATAGTAGTCTATGGGGTTTCTACGGCTTTTGAGATGACCTTCTTCAATGTCCAGCCACTGACGGCCAAGTACTGAGGTTATGAAGAAAGAATAAGTGGCCAATGTCACTACCTGGTCAGTAACATGTCATAGCGTTAGTGTAAACATTGGAAACATCTTTATTTAAGGACAAGTTACAACCCTAAGGCAACTATATTATGTTCCAACTATGTTTCTTAAATTTTGTTGCAAAAAATGTAGTCGCTGATGAGCGAAAACTGTGCATTACCTTTAAAAATACGACTGCTGTTGCAGGCCTAGTTTGGTGGCTGGCAAACTCTTAGGAAAAGCCAGTGGGATTTAAAGATTTTAACAGATTATCAGGAAAAAAGTGAGCCTTGCTACAGCACTGATATTCCTGGAAGGCTGAGTCAAAAGTGAAAACCAAGTTTTAAACCTATTTTTAAAGTCAATGCAACACCATCTCACTCGGACTTAACTCCTTTAGTAATCATCACAAATTTGGCAAATAATTGTAATGCAAATAATTTGTCTTTGCTATTTTCACCAAGAAAAGATCTGACCACAGAGCGCACCTCAAAACTGAAACGACAATGTAATGGCAGCTCTCATTTTAACAGACCTTCAAAACTAGTATGAGATACGATGTGCATGCCACTGTAGCTAGATGTGTACTGAGTGTAGGGTCATGCACCACCCCAAGCAACATCGATGCCAAACGATTATTATTTTCTCGACAGCCCTTGTATATTACTCTTGAAGTATTAAGGCCTAGAATAACTAGACCGATAGGGTTGACAAGGGGTTTTGTACTTCTTACCTGAAAAGCTGTCAATATTGTGAAGTAAATAAATTAGCTCCAGGCTAAAAACAAATTGACTGGGGACAATAAATTGTGGACATTTATAGGGATGCACTGTGGATGCGATGCTCCCTGGTGTGGATTAACGTCCGCACTAGTGAGTACTACGACTATCCGCAGTACTATCCTGATAATTAGACCAATTAGTAAATTACGAGGAAAAAATGTGGTTCGGATTCCACTATAAACTGTAGGTCCCTTAGTTGCCATTAGCTGTATGGGCTATTAATTAACAGCTGTGTCTAAGGAACATGTCGGCCTTAGTCACTAACAAGACTACAAGATAGTGGCATAGTGGCGTCTCCATCTTAAATAATTTATAATTGAATTGATTGATAAAACTGCCCCAACATTTGAGGTACTTTTTAAATGATGAAACTGCCCCGCTCATTACAGAGCATCAATAAGGGTCGCCTCCCCATCCCAGAAATGCTGAAATTACCACGAACGCCTGGCCAGGTAGCCGCTACGGGTCTGGGGAAAAAGGCAATTATTGTTGTTCCTGCGATCTGTCAACGACTGCAGTCTAATAACTACCACCAATATCAGGAATTACTAGCTTATTTTAGGCTGGGTTAGGTTAGGTTAGGTTGTTAAGTTAGGTTATGTTAGGTATTGGTATTGGTACAGAAACAATTGTGACTTGGCAGGAAAAGTAGTCGACAGCAGTTTTAGAAGACTGCAGTCACTAACAGGACACAGGGACAAAAATAATACCCTTTTTTCCCCAGTCCCGTAGCCACTACCTGGCCAGGCGCTCGTTGCAAATTCAGCATTTCTTGTCTTAACTAGGCGACCCTTTCTAATCCTCTTTAATGAGCGGGGCAGTTTCATCTTTTCAAATGTACCCAAAACGTCGGGGCAGTTTCACCATGCCCAATTGAATACCTTGGACAAAAATACATAAAAACAGTTTTGGCGATTGACATATTTACCTGAGTATAAACTAGAGGTACACTGATAGAGTCGTAGTTCAACAGCAAACCACATTGGCCACGAAACCTGTTGATTTCGTCGATGATAGTCTTAACAGCAAAGTCGTCTCGTATCCTCCCCTCTTTCCGAGCTCTTGTTACGATACTTGCCGCCCACACGATAGGTAACCAGTGCTTGGAATGCCGCGGAAACTTGTTGTTCAGATCTACGATGATTGCTTTTTCATTTTCTAGTAGTAGACCTGAAAAATAAATAAGTCATTAAAGTAAATGTTGATAATTTTAATATTGGGAGAGGTGTGTACAGACAGATATACTGAACTTCTTTTTGTAAAGGATACTATATTTTTTGCTGATACCTGACAAAACGGGCTTTCTTGTACTGGTTAAGGCATGCAGAGTAGCTAATTACTGCATTTACTTTTGTATGCCGCACTCCAGTATTCCAAGCAAACACAACAAAAAGTGTGCTTTTACTTTTTATTAGGCACGTAATATGTGTACGCTTGAAAATAAGTTGGTTACACTTAAAGGTACTACGACTAGGATCAGCTGGTGCAGTGTTTACCATTTCTTTCAACGCTTGGATTAAACCCAACCTAAAACGTCATGTTAAGTGTTAGAAAGACTAGGCTAATTATTTTTATTCTTTATAGTAACTCTAGGAAAAATATAATGTGTAACGTGAGCATAAAGGACGGCAAAAAGCTAATGGTAAGCCATAATATTGTTGTTTTAATGTATTTGATTTTACAATTTATTTAAATAAGAGGAGATGTACATTTAGTTAAACCTAACTTTAATAATTAATCTTTAAAATAAAGCCTCAATTGCATAAGACATGTTTACAAGCTACTAAGTGGTCTTTTTTAAATACAGCTCGTAAACTAACCTATTGTATTTGCTGTACTCATTCGATAGCTGCTATTTTAAAAAAACTCTGGAAAAAGTTTAGTATCTCTTTACACACCACTCACCGGCTTAGCGAACTAAATCTTAAACTATATCCAAGTGTACAACTCGAGACACCTAAGCTGGCACTTGGCCTAGCACGGGCAGTGTAGGTGAGAGGAGGGTGGAGGTAGGGAAAAGACCGGACTGCAAACATTTCCTCTACACAATGGAACATAATGGTTTTGAAATAGATGGTAGTACCGATCCGCCAAGTGCCAGCTTAGATGTCGCGCGCTGTACTCATAGTTTCTTGTGCAGAAGTGACAAGTGGTTAAGTATTGACGATGGGGTTGAGAAATTGGTTAAAACATTCACTGCGGTTGGAAAATGGTCAGCCTGTCGGCTGCGTCCCATGAGAATGAGATACAACTGGAGTTAGCTCTGGCAAGGCAACTTTGCTAGAAAAGAACAAGTATGCTGTAAAATTTTGTTTGGTAAGTACCAACTAGAAGAATTGATCAGATCATGGCTTTATTACAATCCCCTATTCAGCCCCTTGTATCCAATGTACTAAGTATACAATTTCTACAATGTACTACCACTACCAGTCGGGACCACGAAAGTTTGCAGTTGGCGTCAGCCAATCACAAGACAAGGCTAGTGTGATGTTGCCATATCGCCCGTTGACGACACTAATTTAAATACTAAACAATAAGATTTGGCAACACCGCACTCCTCATTGGCTCCTTCGAAGTCACGTGGTAAATAGGCTCCTCCCTCAACTGCAAACTTTCATGGTCCCGACTTTAGTGTTCTATTACATATGGCCACCAACATCTCGATTCTCTCATTCAATGCTACTTCCAATTATATCCCTAGCTCAGTACTCAACAGAATAGCTTAGACTGCATGCCAGTTGTTATGAATGTAATTCTATAAGACCAAAACAGATAGCTGCAGTGAACAATTGCTAACAGGCCCCCAGTATACAACAACAAACACCACCAAACCATACACTATAGTACAATGTCAATGTTTAACCTCAAAATAAAGAATACCCCATTCTTCTAATATGATTGATTACTGTTCAATACTGTTCAATGAAATGGCGACCATACATAGTAGGTATTTTAAGCCAAGTATGAATGGAGATGAGTGTAGGATGAGTGGCGCGATCTTGTAGTCTTGTTAGTGACTAAGGCTGACATTCCTTAGACACAGCTGTTAATAAATAGGCCATACAGCTAATAGCAACCAAGGGATTGGTTAGGCCAAACTAACCGTTTGGTTAGTTTGCACAGTATACAATGCTCTGCCTTTCTCTAGTGCCTCGGCCAGTAAGGCACGTTTTTAGATGCCCTCCCCCTCCCCTCTCCGCGATGGTGATGCCAGCAATGTGTTAATAGCAGGAACAAGTATACTTTTTTACTCGCTAGCTAGTAGTTGTTAGGCAAACTCTCCCTGGTTAATCAAGCCTTTAGAGAGACTTAAATCTCAGTTCAAATCAATTCAACCCGACAACTTGCAATACTTTATTTCTGTTGTTTTTTGCCTCCTGTTGATCACAAATTTATATTAATCTAGAGGTTAAAATACTTTTAATCCATCAATACCTTTCCTCCGTCAAATGTTTACATTTGATCACATTGACGGATTAAAGGTATTTTAACCTCTAGATTAACTTTCAATAGTTTCAATTCAATTAACAAGAACAATACAGTCATCTAATACGCCCCACTTTGATTAAAAAATGATCATATAATTTATTATTTGTTGCACAAAACTTTACCCGCTTCCACAAAGTGGTCGATTGTAGGGAACCTCTTCTTGACCCGAGGAGAGATCATGGTGAACACCATCGTGAGACAGAGACAGACGTATCTCATGATCGTACGTCTCATCAGCCTGCCTCGCTCATCCTGTACAGACGACAGAGTCGGATCAACTCAAATTATCTTGGCTCATAGAATTCAGTTATGTATACCTACACAAGTAGTGTCAATTGAGTACAATAAACTGGTGTTCAAAAATTTGGAAATCTAATGAACTTAATTATGAATGTAAATTTGAAAAAACTGAATTGTAAACATTGAATTAAATTGTAAAAAATGTTATAGGACTTTGTTGGAGGAAAACATTAGAATACTGTAGTTCTGACTGAAAAAACATTCGTTTGGAAATTGCTTCTCAAAGTTAATTAAATTTACATTGTATTTTAATGGCAAATGGGTAGTGTTTACAAGAAACAAATTTTTGCCCACATAATAATGAAATCAAACATATTATTTTTACAAATGAACTTTTATTATGAATGCCAACCTCAATTAGTGTAAGAAGAAGTGCAAGATAGTCTTCGCCTTCTTTTAAAAATGACACCTTCAAATCTGTCAGCATATTTAAGCTTCAGCATTTATATTAAGCTAATGCAGCTCATGCTTAATGATTGCATTATAGTTACATTTAATTAGTTAACTACCATTTTTAAATCATTCAATTTACCATATTAGATTAGATCAGGTACAGTATTACAAAACATTTATGAATTAGTAGATGCAACAATCATTCCAGATAGTAAAACTAACTACTGTACTAATTACAAATTGTGAGTCAACAAAAAAAGACAATTACAGGTAATAAATTTAAAATTGTCAAATAACAAAATAACAGCTAAACATTCTTGACATACTTGTAATCACAAATTTTGAAAATAATGACATACTTTAAATAAACAACAACATATGAGAATAATTACCTCATACTAACGTAACAGGGCACAAGGGCCGAGGTTTTATAGATTGTTGATGGGTTGGGATAGTAGGCTTGCTTGAATGGTAAAGAATCCAACAAGAAACAAAAAATGTTCATTATTTGTAATAAACAGAATTTTTCACTGTCAAAAGCATTTTTAACCAAAGAGAGGTTTCAGATAGCAATAAATCTGTTCCTCTATAGAGTTCTGTGACAGAAAGGACTATTCCCATTTAGATAAGCCTTCTATCCCAGCAGCAATCTTGAATTACCACATTAACTGACTTTAGATCTTGAAAGAAGGCTATGCATCACAATTGTAAAAGCTGTATCCAGTTTTTATGTACATCACCCAATAATTAAGTGAAGTTACTACTTGTCAAACCACAAAAGAAAATGACACAGCTGATGTAAATGCAAAAAAGTCAATCTTTCAATTTCAAAAGCTGATGATGTATTCCCCACATTCGTTGACACATTACTAAACTAACAAACAAACATACATGTTATATACAAAAACAATTGGTACGAACAGAAAAAAACAAAAACAAAATGGTGGAATGAGTGCGGGAAGAGACACATCCAAGTGAAGCCTGTGCAGATATCAAGGCTGTAGGTCTACCTGTCCGTGAATGTGCGAGCTGACAAACACTGCGCACGGGTCCGGCCAGGGAATGGCAATGTACTGATTCCACCATCTCGTCATGATAATCGTAACGTAGAACCCCATGACGAACGAGAGCGGAATCAGTTCGCCCGACTTCTCGCAATACTCGGAAATCTCTTCGAACAGCCTGTCAAAAGCGGAAGGGTTAAGGTAAGGTCGAAGTGACGGCTTGTATGTGTCTCTGTTACTCGGTAAACCTTTAAGTACCTGGCCGTGCACACAGGAGCTGACGTAGACGGCGATGGACGAAGTCCAAGGGATTGTTTGGTACTGGTCCCACCAACGAGTCATGATCACGGAAACGTAGAAGCCCAGCACGAAAGACAAAGGGATGAGATTACTGTAGGTCTCGCAGTATTCAGATATCTCCTCAAACACCCTGAACAGACGGAGAAATGAGTCATCTCATACAGTACCTGGCCGTGGATATTGGAACTGACGAACACGGCGGCAGAGTCGGGGAATGGAATGGCTGCGTACTGGTTCCACCACCTGGTCATGATCACATTGATGTAAAAACCGAGCACGAAAGACAAAGGGATGAGATTACTGTAGGTCTCGCAGTACTCCGATATCCGCTCGAACACTCTAGAAACATTCAACGTTCGGTTTTAGAATTGGGTGTTGAAATATGTGTATTGTGAGTAATTAGTTTGTAGTCCAATGTTTCTTTGGTAGAGTTTAGTAGCGCAAAGATGTTTGCGTGGAAAGATATTTTTGAGGCTTTAAAAGTGTTTTTCATTGAGTGAGTGGTATCTTGTAGGTATTATTGACTATTAGATAGTCAAAGGTATTTCGTAATAAGTTTTGTCGTTACTCTTAACCATCAGTAATTAAAACCTCATTACTACAAACTTTGCTTGATCCGTACAGCTATTTGACAGCAGTTTCTAAAAGTTTAATACAGCTAGGAACATATTACTGTAAAAATTGTAGCACAGTTTACGATGCTTTAAGAGATTGCTGTCTTTTGAATTAAGGCTATTTTTATCGTTAAATACAAGCACAATTCTGGAACGGTCCCAAAATAGTCCTACCTTTTTTCATAGTAAGGTTATTTTATGAAATTAAGAGTGCTTTGGATCCCCAATTTACTCTGATTAACGAGGTTTTACTGTATACACTTCATTGTTTCTTTTATATTTATGATTTTCAGTCATGATTTTTGTATTAAGTAATTAATTTTTTAGGTACTTTATTGACACTAACATTTTATTTGATATTGCAAGAACTATTTCGGAGTCCTAGGAGTGATGCCGATTGAGGTCTAGAATGCCTCTGATTTTTAGCAAATTTCTCTATAGGGCAGAAGCTATAGAGAACTATTAAGTTATAGAGAGCTATGGGTTTTATTATAGGGCGGGTAAAGACCTAGACCCGAGATTAATTTATTTTTTTATTTTGAAGTTCCCAGAGAGGCTAAAATAATATTCGTTCAAATTTATGTATATGTGTGTGTGTTTGTGTGTTCGTCCATAAAAACAATAACTCAGAGTCATTATAGTCAGATTTTGATTAAATTTGGCATGAATATAGAACTGGATAAACTGAATGACTTTGCAAACCAGCAAGATCGAATCATGGAAACAGGGTGTTATGGTGTTATGAAGTTTTTCAAAAATTTTGTTTTTCAAATGTTACGCTTTAAACATAGGAATGCCCAATTTTTCATTACAGCCATCATGTACAGCTTAAAAAAACAAAACAATTTTGATGTTAAAGCATTGTTGACGGAGAAAATTCCAAAAACGTGTACATTTAAAATTTTTATTTTATTTTTATGGAGAAACATAAACATAAAATCTGTTGCATATGTTTCGGTCAAATCAAATTTGATCAAATTTTTAAATGGGGGATAAAATATTACTTGTTTATGGAAATATTTGATTAAAAATCGAATTAGACAATTTGAAATTTGTTTGGTCTGCAGGTTTGCTGTGTGGGGTATTAAAGTGATCTTATGACTAATCATTTCACTTGTTTATAGATCAGTTATAACATACAAAATAGTAAATAAATGAAAAAATACATACAAATGCGCTTCAATTAAGCCCAACTGATATTGACCCCCGAATTCTCTTTTTCAGGAATCAGATTCAAATTGAACCAAAAATCAAAAAAGTTCAACAATTGATCAACTAAGGTAATAAACAATTAATAGAGACAGAAATCATAAGAAATAATAATTAATTAAACTAAAAAAGTTAATCATATAAAACATTGATTGAGATCACTGAGAGATTTCTTAACACTAACTGGATTAGGTTAACAAAAAATATACATGTTAGCAAAATCCCTTTCTCAAGTTGTATTAACTAGGGTTGTTTTAAGTAAAGCTTACTTTTTTTGTTCTGGGTCCAAGACAAATCTGTAGAGAGCACTGAGGGAGTAGTAGATACCAAGGAACGCTATCAAGTCTGGCCACACTAGCTTGTAGATGCTGCCCTTCCATCTGGAAAACATAATTGTTGGTCAATACTCTGTGTAAATGTATCTAATGTGATGTACAACAGACATAATTCTACTTCCCTGTCACCATATCACTCATTACGAAATTCGGATAGGGTACAACCAGTGGGACAACTAAGGGGTTTTTTAACCAAAATATGAATGAAGATGAAAGTGGGATGAGTGTGAGATACATTATCAAAACTATGCTAATGACTAGTGGCAATAGGCAATCAATAAGATTGTTATGCTAACATAAAACCATCTATCCAAAAATATTTTGGGAATTTGTAGTGGCTCATTTAGTGACCACCAAGAACACATGATCTTGTCCGGCCACCAGCCACGATGTCAGTGTTGTTTGGGGGTATGGTGTCCTGTGCAGCTGTTTCTTAGCCCAGTGGTCAATAACTGCTGGGTCCAGTTTTAACTACTGTATCAATTTTTTTTGTTATTTTTTCATGATTTAATGAGCAACTTTTGTATTTTATGCCAAACAATACTACTGTACTTGACTTCTCAGCCCCATTTCTTAACTATATTATTTTCTCTTAAGCTGGGTTTTCCTAGGCGCGGAAGCGGAGAGCGGAGAGAGGAACGCGGAGAGCGGAGAGAGGAACGCGGAGAGCGGAGAGAGGAACGCGGAGAGCGGAGAGAGGAACGCGGAGAGTGGAGAGAGGAACGAGGAGAGCGGAGAGAAGAACGTGGAGAGCGGAGAGAGGAACGCGGAGAGCGGAGAGAGGAACGCGGAGAGCGGAGAGAGGAACGCGGAGAGCGGAGAGAGGAACGCGGAGAGCGGAGAGAGGAACGCGGAGAGCGGAGAGAGGAACGCGGAGAGAGGAACGCGGAGAGCGGAGAGAGGAACGCGGAGAGCGGAGAGAGGAACGCGGAGAGCGGAGAGAGGAACGCGGAGAGCGGAGAGAGGAACGCGGAGAGCGGAGAGAGGAACGCGGAGAGCGGAGAGAGGAACGCGGAGAGCGGAGAGAGGAACGCGGAGAGCGGAGAGAGGAACGCGGAGAGCGGAGAGAGGAACGCGGAGAGCGGAGAGAGGAACGCGGAGAGCGGAGAGAGGAACGCGGAGAGCGGAAAAGAGATAAACATGGCGGACTAAAAATGTAACTATGAAACTATTAGAAACATTATTACATTAGTAATTTATAGAACATTAAGCAATATTTAAAACATTAAAATGTGAAATAGGCCTAATTTTATTATAATTTATCTAACAAAAACCTAACCTAGCCTAGGCATAACATAGCCTAAAATGGTTAAATTAAATTGAAACATTACAGTGTAGTAATGGAAAACTATTTGCCTTGATGGAACAGTAATGTCAATTTCGTCTACCAAATAGAGTGTGCATATTTTTGAACCCATGCATTGCCATAGTTAACCAAAACATGGAAAACATCAATAAAACAAAAGAACTGCTACATTATATTAAATTGCATGACAAAAACCACTGTGAAAATGACAGTTGTGCATGTATATTGTAGTTGGAAGATGAGGTAGAATTGTAAATGTCCAGGTACGGTTGAATGACCGGCGACCGCTGCTGTATGAAGGTGTGATTATAGGCTTCACGGCAAACCACGCCTTCTACACCACAAGGAAATTGTGGACTCGCAGTGAGAGGCAAGGTCACGGTTTCCTACATCTTACATCATAGAAACGTCCTCACTTGTACTGTAGCTTGGTCAGGGAAGAGCAAATTAAATAACGTAAAATATGGAAATACCCCCGCCGCAGCAAACCTGCAGACTAAGCGAATTTCCTTTGCCTGATTGGATTTTACACTAAAATGTCTCCTTAAAAATGTCACATTTATTCCCTATTTAAATAACACTAGTTTAACGAGTACTTAGGTTTGCTGCAACAGGGAGCGTAAAAAGGTGTTTTTTTGTAAAATATTAATAGTTTGGTATGAAATGAATGCATTTTCCAAATTTGATCAAAATATGTTCCTTCATAAACAAGCAAACTACAAAAGTTTACTTATTCTCCATAAGAACAACATGGGCATTTTAAATTTACCGATTTTTTTTAATTTTCTCCGTAACCATTAGGCGCATAATAACGCTTCAATATACTAAATTATTGGTTTTTTAAGCTCTACAAAATGGTTTGAAAAGAAACTGCTAAATTTTAAGTATTTAGGGTCAAAAATGGGAAAAACCAATTTTTACCCCATAAAACCCCCCATAAACCCCTGTTACCATAGTCCGATCATGCTGGTTCGCGAACTCGTTCGAATAAACGTAGGTTTACATGTTTGTACCAAATTTCATCAAAATCGGATGATTTTTTCTCTAGTTATCGCGCTAACAGACACATATATAAATATATATATATATATATATATATATGAATTTGAACGAATGGTGTTTTTGGCCTCTAGGGACCTCAAAACGAAAAAGTAAATCGGCCCCGGGTCCAGGTCTTACCATGAGTACTACGGTAATAGCTTATTCCCTATATGGGAAATTCGCTAAAATAATATACAAACCCGATAGCATAAACTAGCAAAATTACCAGTATGCCTACTGCAACTAACTGATGGTAGTTACAAAAACAGGTGTTATTAGATTTTTAACATGTGTAAGTCAGAATAAAAATATTATGTAATTGTATGGCTAATTTTCGAAACCATGAGAGAGTTAAAATCGGAAACTCAAGTACAAAAGAATTTCCATGAATTATACAGCTTAGACAATTGATTGAGGATTATTATCGGTAAACAGGGTTTCTGCGAATCCCGGGGAAAATATAATAACAAAACAAAGAGAATATAATAACTATCGCACTAAAGAAAGTTTGTAAACAATCTCGATTTGAATTTAAAGGCACTAAGATCAGTTGAAGGTAGTACACAAAATTGCAAACCTTAAAAAACAGGGCGCCATGGTTTACAAATCATAAGCAACTTTGAAACTAATTAAACAATATAACACTATGTGTAATGCAATAGCCTACCTGATCTCTCTTATAGTATGTAAAGTAAAAGGGAAACACAAATTGTAAAAACCATCCAAAAATAAAATATAAACATTTAGTCGACATTAGCACACTTAAACGTGTCCAAGACATGAATCACACACCAAAGCAGGCTTTTTCAAATCATAGACCAAGGGAAGTTTAATCTATGCATCAGATGCCCAAAAACGAGTATATTTTCAATTGTTGTTTGTCTGTTTGACGGCAACGCGCCTTAATTTTTCACATTTTTAGGCTGCAAGAAATCGAGAGGACCGTTATTGATGAAACCTTTTCAGTGTTCTCTACAAATTTGTAAATGATGCTAGAAACTAACATTCGTCCGTTTAATTACCATTAGATACGTTACAATTGCGATTTTGAAAATGTCTTGTTCTCTAATCACAAAAAAACAGTTTAGTAATTGATGATACAATAAAATGTTTAATCTGTACACATGCGAAAGTTTATTATATAGGGTACTGTTTAGCATACTAATTGCCTAAATCCTTCCTAGAGCTGAACTTCTATTGGGGTTTAAGGCAATTCTTTCGTAAGGAAACTTCTGTTTAGGTTCAAGAAAAAAGTAAAAAAATGTAATAAACAGCAACGAATAAAACTAATTTAAGTAAGTATCAGAAGTTTGTTAACTGTTCGAGTGTTCGGTTTTGTCTCATTTTTATCTGCTAATCAAGGACCGAGCTGAGCTTTAAAAACAGTTTTCAACACATTCTAACAAAAGGTTTCTACAGCAAAAATTACATCGAAAAAATATTAAACAAAATCATGATAAAAACATTATTTTAACACATAACCCAACAGTACATTTTACAGCACTAAATTTATTCCTTGCTTGTTAACTTTGACAAAGTTAGTTCTTGCTACGCTTGATAAGAAAGTTAGAGTTAGAGCCGCAGGGCTTTGCCTTGGTACAATAGTGGCGTGACCCCGGTACAGCAGGGTCGATGTCAGTCAATATGCACAGTGACGCTCTCACACCACAATGACTAGTGAACTTACAGAGTACCATACTGAGTACAGAGCCGCAGGGCTTTGCCTTGGTACAATAGTGGCGTGACCCCGGTACAGCAGGGTCGATGTCAGTCAATATGCACAGTGACGCTCTCACACCACAATGACTAGTGAACTTACAGAGTACCATACTGAGTACAGAGCCGCAGGGCTTTGCCTTGGTACAATAGTGGCGTGACCCCGGTACAGCAGGGTCGATGTCAGTCAATATGCACAGTGACGCTCTCACACCACAATGACTAGTGAACTTACAGAGTACCATACTGAGTACAGAGCCGCAGGGCTTTGCCTTGGTACAATAGTGGCGTGACCCCGGTACAGCAGGGTCGATGTCAGTCAATATACACAGTGGCGCTCTCACACCACAATGACTAGTGAACTTAAAGAGTACCATACTGAGTACAGAGCCGCAGGGCTTTGCCTTGGTACAATAGTGGCGTGACCCCGGCACAGCAGGGTCGATGTCAGTCAATATGCACAGTGGCACTCCACACCACAATGACTAGTGAACTTACAGAGTACCATACTGAGTACAGAGCCGCAGGGCTTTGCCTTGGTACAATAGTGGCGTGACCCCGGTACAGCAGGGTCGATGTCAGTCAATATACACAGTGGCGCTCTCACACCACAATGACTAGTGAACTTACAGAGTACCATACTGAGTACAGAGCCGCAGGGCTTTGCCTTGGTACAATAGTGGCGTGACCCCGGTACAGCAGGGTCGATGTCAGTCAATATACACAGTGGCGCTCTCACACCATAATGACTAGTGAACTTACAGAGTACCATACTGAGTACAGAGCCGCAGGGCTTTGCCTTGGTACAATAGTGGCGTGACCCCGGTACAGCAGGGTCGATGTCAGTCAATATACACAGTGGCGCTCTCACACCATAATGACTAGTGAACTTACAGAGTACCATACTGAGTACAGAGCCGCAGGGCTTTGCCTTGGTACAATAGTGGCGTGACCCCGGTACAGCAGGGTCGATGTCAGTCAA